GCCATGAGAATTTGCTCCCCAGCCCTTCTCTGTTGTTAAACACACATCCTGATATTTAACTCTTTTTCACTCAGAGTAATCAAAGATGTCTCGAAGGCTGTTTAAAATTTGTACAAACTGGGGTCATACCCTGCAGGTTTGATGGGTCCAGCAGGTCACAGGGCACATCAGGGTTCCATGGGCTCGGGTGACAGTCACACCTGAGGGGTGGGGACACACTGATGTGTACACAAAGGACTTCTCTGGTGTCAATCAAAAGATCATCAGAAAGTACTTAAAAACAATGGAAATAAAGCCATTGAAAAGGAAATTTGAAGCTATACCATCTCTCCACTATCAAGGCAGTAATACTGGCATACATTGATAATTTAGCAAAATAACAGGATGGAGAAATTTTAAAAGTGAAGGAAGAAAGCTACCTTTAAGAGTTAGGATAGTGAATACATCTGGATATAGTTTTTTCTACATGAAATGAACTGTAAAGTCATAATGAACTCCTGAAAGGCTGGTTTCATTGGAGTTCTCTTGGCACACACGTGCACTGCTGGTCCTGTAAGAGGAGCAGCCCCAGGCACCAAACCTGGGACCTCTCCTTCGAGGATTTCACCCTTGGCCATTTCCATGCAGCAACTTGCACTAGGAGATGTTGGAGAGATTCAGAGCAAATTCCCTCCTTTCTTACAAAAGTTCACCTCAGAGAGCAAGCTACATGGTTCCAAAGACTTGCCAGACTGTGGAAAATCCTGGAGATCCCCAGCACATAAAATCCAAATGGTTGGAGGCTGAGGGTTTTGCCTGCAGTCATACTGGAAATTAAAGCTTTTGGTCTTCTGACAACTTTTTGTCATTAATTATAAGTTTGTTATAGACGTGCACCTATGGCAAAGACCCTTTGGGGCTTTTAGTCTGGTCAGAAAGGTTTTCTTAAATTCAACTTCACATTTCTATGAATCCCTGTTTTGAGTGATGCTGATGTGGTTGCCTTATTGCTGCATGCAACCTGGCTGAGCTCCACATTGTGTGCTCCTGAAAGTAGCAGCTGCTTATCCTTTCAGATGCCTGACTTGTTTTCTTCTATTTTAGGTGATTTCCAATAACTTTTAATGGCGAGGTGCATCTGTGTCAAGTGGAAAATGAGCTGTTTGTCTTTCCCTTTGCTCCCAGTGAAAAGGTTTAAAGGCACATTAGGTTTTCAGTCTCTTTATTCTGTGGCTAAACATTTTCTTCAATGCTATCAGCAAGTTTCAGCATTAAAAAGGAGGAGATTTTTGGCTTCTGGAATTAAGCCAGAAAGTGTGGCCAGAATTTAAAGCACCCCCTGATGTGTTTTGTTAACACTAATAAGAGATTCAAAATGCTATGAAAAAGCTTTAGATGATGAAAGTTTAATATTTCAGCAGTCTGCATGCAGCTGCTATTCTGAGCCTCAAACATCCTCCTCCAGCTCAATATACTCAAAATCTATTAATCTAAATTATGATTTTAAAGGGCAGGAGCCCAGATGTGCATAATTGTTTCTTATTGTTCCAATGTGTACAGCAGGGCTCTGAAGTCACAGTGATAACACAGCTGTGGGTTTGCAGCCTCTTGCTGTCCTTTTCCTGCCTGTCACTCTGTGTGTGCTGCTTTCAGCAGGCTCACCTGGGTCACCTCACAAAGCAGAAAACAATTACTCAAATCCAGGCCCATCCTTTGAAATCTCTGCTTGTATTTAGGCAGGATTCTCTTCCATATCCCAGTCACTTGCAAGTCAGAGTTTTGCTAGAGAAATACAGAGTTTGAGGTCTGGCCCAGTGGGAGCCATAAACACTTGTTTGCCCAGCCTCTCTTGGAGAGGCTTCTCTTGGCTCTGGAAGTCGTGCAGCAGGATAAAACCTTTTACTCCTGCTGGCATATCACACAGTTCCCTACACCAGAAACAGCTTTTCTTCCTTTTAGGAAGAGGAACAATGAGGGTTATGCCCCTAGTTTGTTTTAGGGGCTGGAATTTTAATCCTGGCAAGACAGAGTTCAAAAAGTTTTGAGATGCTCACACTTTGCAGCCACCCACATGTTCTTGACCTCTTCAAAGTGGCCAACGCTCAAGTGTCCCACTTCAGAATCACACGTGGAAATGCAGTTCATAAGACAAGTGTTCAGTCTGCTGCTTCATCCAGGTCAAACAGTTCCTGTGGTGCAGAGGTGAGTGGCTGAAGTGACCTGCTAATATCACACCTTACAAAATCTGTTTGGTACCCCCTTCAATTTTCATGAACTGGTAACGGGTGGCTGCTGAAAACCAGACTTGTTGCAGATAGAGAATTGCCCCAGACTCCAGCGAAGTTGTTAGGATGTGTCCCAGCAGAGATTTTTGTGAGGAGGAGCAAATCCAGGGTGTGATGTTTCTTCCACAGTGCTTGTTCCTGGCTGAGTTATACTATCCTGGTCTGTGGAAAAGACCACATGGTCTGGATTGTAATGTGTTCCCCTGCTGCCAGGTCACTGGCAAGTATGGAGAGGAAGATTAATAAGGCTGGTGTGGTTCATGGGTGCCAAGTAATCACAGCTCAATAGGAAACTTAATAAAGACACAGTGAAGCAGACCCTGATGTATGGCCCCTTCAGAGCATTTTGACAGCGTGAAAAAGACCCTTGATGCTGGTGTAAATATCAGCAACCCTGTGCCATCTCATCAGCATTGCCCAGTGCTGGCTGAGCACCTGGGACCTCCTGCCCAGTGCCTGGCAGTGGGTCCTGGTGTGCCCCAGCAGTGCAGGACAAAGTTCTGCCATGTTTGCACCCTGTCCTGTGTGGATACATGAGTGGGGATGAAAAGCAGTCCATCCTACCCCTCTCCCTGCAAGGAAAGAACCTTTCCTGGTTGTGTATTTTGTAGTGCTTTGTCTGGACAGGTTTCGAAAGCTCTAGACAGTGAAGTATCCAAGCAGTTAGGGATCAGGAGCTTCAGTTCCCTTCCCTTTCTGGACCTACAAGCCCTCTTCCCTGCTGCTGCCCACTGGCTGGAGCATCTCAGGGCAGGTTTTGGGAACATAATAGGTTGGAGGAAGTAACAGAGAGGAGTGGCACTCTCCAACTCTCCAGTGTAAATTACATGGAAATTAGGCTTCTGTAAGGCCAAAGGCCCCTCCGGAATAGGGCCTTTAGTTAACATAACACTTGTGCTAAATGAAGCGGTTGACACAGCTTTCAGGCTGTAGTGCCACTGTTAATTTACCGTGTGAAAGGGCTGAACCTTCCTTCGAGTTCTGCAGGGAACAGCTCTGCCCTGGCAGGGACCCGGGGCTCATTCTCTCCGGAGAGCGACTGCATCATTCCACTGCTGGCTTATTAATATTTATGGGCAGTCCTGTTAGCTGAAACATTCTCAGTGCTGTTAAAAACTCAGTAGGTGAGCACTGCTGTGCCATGTGTCTGTTTGGGGCGAGCTGGTCTGGGTAATAGCTGAGCTTTCCTGGGACTTGGCAGGGAGAAGTGGTGGAGTGTTTATCCTGGGTGCAGAAGTTTTCCTGCCCCATGGAAGTGAGGTGATGAGCTGGGGCTTCTTCTTCCCCACCCCTTGTTCTCCCCAGGATATTTCCTGCTGCTTCAGGGCATAAGCAGGTACCTTGCTCTTGTTCTTCCTATTTGCTCATCCAAATGTTCATCCAAAGCAAACTCCTAGCACTTAATTGAAAAGTGGACGGAGGAGCAGAAAGGACTGGACGGGTTCCAAAGGACCTGTATGATTGTAGTAAGGCTAGATGGTCTGTGCCAGGGTCAACTTTATGACTATTTTCATAGGAACAAGGACTGGTTTGGGTTGGAAGGAACATTTAAAGGCCACCTAGTCCAACCACCCTGAGCTGAGCAGTATCTTCAATTAGATTAGGTTGCTCAGTGCCCCATCCAAAGTGGCCTTGAGTGTTTCCAGGAGTGGGGCACACCCCACCTCTCTGGGCAACCTGTTCCAGTGTTTGACCTATAAATGAGTGGTTAGTTACCCAGGGCAAGGGTGAGGATGGATGGACCAGTCCCTGTCATGGACACAGACACATGATTAAGATGGCGTTATTCTGCAGGTTTTGGGTTTTGCAGTAAGATGTCACTTTGTTGCCTGTTGTCCTTGCTCAGAGAGGAAGCTCTGGGGACACCCCAGCAATGGAGAAAGGAGTCTGTGTTTCACTGAGCCACAGAGGTATCGAGCTGACTCTCATCTTTGCTGTGAAAGCATGAGTTAAACCTTCAGTACACTGCCTGGGCCCTGGAGAGAAGGGCAGGCTGGAAGAGGTGTGAATTCACACAGAGTGAGGCAGAGTGGCACCAGGGCTTGGGGCAGCACGGGGACAGCAGCAGCTGTCGCAGTCCTCTGGCTGCAGGAGGTGCCAGCTGTGACTCCAAGTGAGAGGGATCTTCCACTAAAAAAGGAAGGGCAGGATCCAGTTGCCTGCACGTGTTCGACCCCCAGCTACACCTCACATTCTGTCAGAGCAGAGCAGGAGCTTCCTCCTGCTTGGGAGTGCAATAAATACCCCCAGTCTATTCCTCAGCTCCGAGCAATGCTAAGGGGGGCTTTTGAAAGAGCCATCTCCTTTTCTGACAATACCAGAGCTGGATAAATAGTAAAATTAAAAAACAAAACAAACAACCAACCAAAAACCCAAGCAAACAACAAAAAACAACAACAAAAACCCAAAAAAACCTACTTCCCAAACAGCAGCGGAAAAAGAAGGGAGAATTAGACTATTGCTAATGCTGGTTCCATCCTTTCCTGCAAAATTCTAGCCAGAGTCACTGAGATAAGTGACTGAAGCTGGTAAGGATGGCTCCAGCTACCACCCCAGCCCAGCCCCAGGAAAGGGCAGGGGGCATGTGGTGAGCAGAGAAAAGGCAAGACAGAGAGAGGATCTCCTGGGAGATGCAAAGCATGCTCCCTGGATTGCCAGGACTAGTGGTGACACGCGCCAGACAAAGGAACTGCTTCTCTATAAATGAGGCAGCCGGACCAGCTCCAGGCTGACTCCAGCAGGAGCAAGCTCCGTGGCCAGGCGCTGGAACAGCAGTCGGGAGAGAATCACAGGAAGCGCCTGATTTTGCTGCCTGTTCGCCCCCGACCAGGTTCCCAGAGGCACAAATACCAGAAAAGTAAGTGACAGTGGCCTCCTCTCTTTACAGCTGTCCTCCCCTCTTTTGGGCTTGTCTTGCAACTTTCTTAGGAAAGCCAAAATTTCCCCTCAGAGCTGGGAATATTCTAAAAGGAAGGGATTTCAGCAGTGGCCTTTTACCAGTTCTCTGTATTTTCATTTCTTATTGTGGCACCTCTGGTTCTTGTCATAAAAAAATTAAGAATAAGGCATCTCATCTGACAAACAGCCACTTAGAGGGAGCTGCACTTCATCAAGTGAAGAGGCAGTTTGTACCTGAGCTTTCCAAATTTCTAGTCCCCACAGAGACTCGGTGAGTCAGACCTTACCAGAAGAAAATATTGATTGCTTTTACTGCTTTTGAGAGAAATGTTGGTGGTGAGATATGGAGGAAACAAAAGTGATTTTATAATCCCTGTTCTTAACTATTTCTAGATTTTCTTACTGCTGCAAATCAGAGTTATTGCACTGGTGCAAAATAATTAGACAGAGAGTCATAGATCCCTGAGTTTAGAAATAAAACTTAAGTGAATTCTACAATGCTGTTTGAAATTGAAAACAAATTCCTTGCAAAAGCACAATTAATCATGTCCTAATTATTCACTAGACTGTGTGGAAATTAACTGACAGTGTCAACAGGTAAAAGTGTAAGGAATAAGTTTTAAATTCCAATCCTCACATATTTTAAAATATCCCCATAGTTTACTGGTCATCTGTGTTACAGCTGATCCAGTAAAATATATAGGCATTTGAATTTTCTGCAGTTCACCAGTGCACTTAGGAGGAAAAGATTAGCATTTTTTTAATTTCACTTCTCTTGTTAAATATTAGTAACTCTCAGATTTGTGGAAAAAAAAACCCAAAACTTTTGAAATTGCCAATATAAAACATCTTTTTATTTCCAGGGGTAGCCTTCTGCATAAAATTATTTTTTTGAGAAAGTTAATAAACAGCAAAACATGCATGTTTTTTGAAGTAGCTGTCTCTATCCTTCTTGATTTCCTTGTAACACTACAGGACAATATTTCATGTTCAGAATATTTTTCCACCACACATTTCTAATTATTTCACACAGATACAAAAAAAAAAAAAAAAAGCCAAACAAACAACCAACCACAAACCTAACCAATCAGAAAAAACCCTTAAAATAAATGCAGTTTGTTTTTACTGCCTGTTTACCTAAATCTTTACGGTAGTTGTGATATGAGCAGGTGATCCAAGAAATGAAGTTCTCACGGAGGCAGCATGCCAGGCAGGAAATTTGTGGACTAAACAGAGGTGGCTGAGGCAGGGATGATCTTTGAGCTGCTGTTTCTCTCAGGAGCAGCCCCACAGAGGTTGGTGGCAAGACATTCAGGGGCAAATGGGGTTGTGCTCCTTGTCTTGCAGTGGTTTGTATCTCACTTTTGGCAGCTGCATTTTGCCATGGTGGCCACGTTCCTCTGTGCTCAGGGTCACCTCTGGTATTAGGCACAGCTGGCACTGGTGTGAGCCAAGGTGGTCAGCAGCCTGGTGGGAGCTTTGGCAGGAAGACAGGGCTCGGCACTGGATGCTGTCAGACCTCCAGTCTTGCTTTGGCTGCACTCACAGACAGATTTGCCACCAGCCTCAGAGCAGACCTAGATAGAATGCAAAAGCAAATATTGGCTGGGGGGACCATGTCCAAGTCTAGTAAATATCTATGTTCCCCCTGATACAAATGTCCTTTGCATTGGCTGGATTTTCCCTTTTCTGCTCCCAACAACTTCTCTAACAGCGTGAGCTGCTGCAGACTACTCTCTGCAGAGCTGTAAGACATGTAGCATCTAATCCCACTCTTCACTTACATCCTTCTTCCAGGATGTGGACTTCCCTACATACACAGGCAGGGCAAATTTTTTCTGCTATTCACAGCTGCCCTCCTGCCTCCTTGTGCCAAAGAGAGAGTGGCAGGAATAAGTGATGCAACGAGTTGGGAGAAATACAAGGTTTTGCACACTGTGTCTGGGGCAGGGGAAAGAAAAAGAGACCTGAAGAACTCCTGGAACAGAACCAAACTGTTTTTCTTCTCTGTGTTTACCTTAAAGCACTGGGAGGGTGTCTCTGTGTAGTATTTGGGCTGTTAATTTGGCAGAGGCTGCTCTTAAATGAAACCCACTGGAATTGTCATTCAGGCCAGAGAAGCACTTTTCCAAGAGAGACTCTCAGATTCTCTGGAACAGAAAATAACACAAGTGCAACTTCAGCAAATAAAGGCTAAACCTTCTGGCAGAGTGTTCCTTTCTCAGCTTAGCAAGCTGTCGTGCCCCTGCCAATGCACTGGAACTCCATTTAGCAAAAGCTGTTGCAGCCCATGAGTGGGTTCTTTATTTTTTTGGTGGTGTAATTCATCTTTCTGCAAAGAGCCATAAAAAGTATTGAGCAGAAGAGAGCTAGATGAAAAAAAAAACCCCAAAAACAAAACAAAACAAAACAAAAAAAAACAAACCCCAAAAAAAGCTCACTCCCATGTGCAGAGTAAACCTTTTCTTGAGCTACATCTCTATCACTATTGTCAAGGTCTTGGCCATATACTTAGTGCTCTCCCAAATGCCATCTGGGTGGCAGCCCATTCATTGCTTTGCAGATCTTCCTTTCCCAAGGCAGGCCTAGAGGGCATGATGATACATTGTGCATGCTGTGAAGTCTTATTTTCTCAGAAAGCAGAGAGCTCTTGGCTGCTGAAGACCTGAACCCTCCAAGAGGGCAACTGGATTACAAAGCTCAGCAGCCCAGGAGCAGTATTGTGTCAGGTGAAAGACCTGCCCCTTGGAACTGGCATTGTGTGTAGTGCAGTAACCCCAAACATGAAGGATGACTTAGTCCTGAGACCTTCACACAGCTGCCTTTGAAGACTCCAGTGATTTCCTTTTCCTAAAGGTTCAGTGAGAGCACAAGTGTGACTGTGAGAGCTTCTGTAAATGCTGCCCTCAGACAGGAGGGCTCCCAGAAGAAGAGATTCAACTATGTGCATTTTGTCCTAGATTTAAAGGCTCTAAAAAAGGTAAATCACTGTGTCAGCATGACTGGTTTTTATAGTGCTTTTGCTGCTCTGCTGTACTTGTACCGTGGTGTGATTGTCACATAACACTCCCAACACAGGCATGAGGCAGAGAAAGGAGCCCTTGTTTACTCCTGAAGTAATTCCTCTTCCCTTTTTATTTCATTTTGAAATAAAATTAAGTTCACTGATAGTGTAAGGAATCACCCTGGGGATGCAGGGAAAGGCTCTTCTCATTCATTATACCAGCACTGCAAGGCTGGGCCACCCTGTGTTTGTGTCTCCTCTTGCACACAAATTCTTACACTTGACAATTTTTTCCCCACAAACCTTGCACAGGTTAATAAGCAGGAGGGTCAAGGAGGTGCAGAGAAAGAAAAGAAAAAAAAAAAAAAGAAAAAAAAGAAGAAACAAGAAAAAAAAAGGAATTTGCCTGAGGCAAGGGAACCACAGAAACCTAGACAGAAGTTCAACTCCCTGGCTGCCAGTCCAGCATTCACTCTCAGCACTGAGATCTCTCTGTGTCCCTGTCCACCCACACACCTGTGGGATTTCAGGTGAGAGGAAATTTGGGAAGGGTCAGCACTGAGATGCAGGGAGGCAGCAATAGGGAGAATGAGCAGAGGAAAGATGAGGAGAAGAGCCTGTACCTAGTGGTGAGCTGCTCCTCTTGCTATCCATCAAGCTGGGGTGCATTGTCCCCTCTGCCCTTTCTACCCCTCCCAACCCAAAGAAAGTCTCTGAAATCCAAGCAGCCAGGGTGCAAACTGTGCACGGTTAAACTGCAAGGAGTGAGTTTATTCCTCCTAGGGAAGGGGGAAAAGAAAAAGTCCCATGTCAACAATAGGTAGTGTTTTGTCTTGTAATACCATGCTCAGTCTTGCCCTCTGCATGAAGCTGAGTGTCACACTCTGAAGCTTGTGTGAAACTGAAGAAGGAAACTGTGAGTTTCCCCTTTCTCCTTTTGCCCAAATCACAGGGATGCAAAGGGAAGCACAGCAGCAAGGAGTGATAGCTGGAGAACCTTTGCTCCTGGTGGCAGATCAGGCTCACAAGCACCTGCCTGATAGAGGAAACAGGCAACCTCTGCTCTTCTGTTGCCATTTACTTAAAGGCTGGGGGGACTTAACAAAATCCAGTGCAATGTGTTAAATAACCAATTTTAGCAGGCACTGGGTTTCCCCTGTGGAGTGATGGTGTGGCACCGCAGGTTTACTAGAAGCACTCCAATTCTTGGTGGCAGCAGGCATCTGCTGTCTGATTAAGATTTGCAGGAGAAGGTCTCCAGTGGCCAGTTTCAACATGGATTTAACTTCACCGAGGTCAGAGGTATAACTTGAGGGAGGAACTTTCTTGTCCAAGATCTTTAGTTAATAGCATCCTGCTAATTATGAGTGAGAGCTGGGCTGCTGGAGAGTCCCCTGCCAGCCCTCAGACATTAACCGCTGGCTCGGGGGCCATTTACTGGGGAATGTCTGGCAGAGATGTGCTTTGTGCCTGAGCTGCTCTGCTGCTCTGCTGCTGCCTGAATTGCCTGAAAGGCTTTAGCACGGAGAGGCTGTGAGAATTGCTGGTGGGAGAGATCTTCATCTCTTCCGCCGTTCAGTCTTTTGTCTGGTGAAACTCGCGGCTGCATTAAAAACAGGCGGTATTCTGCCCACCCCACATTTTTATATTTTTCAAATGGGTAGGCAGGGGGGTGCAAAGAGCTTCAGTTGTCTCTTTGGTGGGTGGTGGTGGCTTGTTTTTCCTTTTTTTTTTTTTTTTTCCTCTTTCTTGCTGTTGGAGCAGATTTGCTGGGGCTATTTCTTTGCATAATTCTCTTTACATGTTGCAGATGTGCACCTTAGCTCATGAAACTGCATTTACCTCCTACTTCTGGACATGCCTTCTTGACCTGAGTTAAATCCTTTCCTCAGTGCAAAATTATGTCCTTCAAAATTTATCTTGTGAAAATGGTGTAAACTTTCAGATTTATGTAGCTGAGAGCAGAATTAATCCTCTTGAATTTAAATTGCTGTCTTCCTGGATCTTTAATTGTCAACTAAATGTGGGGCTGTTAATCTGTGGTTAGGAAAGGTGAGCAGAAAGTACAGAGTCCGAACCTGCAGGTTAATGTAATAAATCTATACATTATTTGTACAGACGGGTGATTTCTGCACAGATTTAAAACAGACCAGTGGGATACAAGCGGTGCACAACCTGTAGATGACACGTATTTTATACAGTGCATCAGAGAAAGCTAAGGAATACATTGCTTGGTTGTGCAAAATTAACAAAGACCTGAAGTTGCAAATAATAACATTGAAAGACAAGTTTGGTGAGAAAAGTTGGAGAGAAGGAAGGAAAAGAAGGGAGGAAATGAGACAAAATAAATGGAAATCAGATCCCTTGCCAGCAAACTGGCTGCATTTTAACTGAAAGGTGCTCTGGTTACAGAGAACTTGAGGGATGTGTAGGTGACTAGAGAAAAAAGCTGTGCTGAAACATTATAATCACTGCAGGATTGGACCAGGATAATTTTTCTACTATGTTTCTAATGGAAACTCCAAGCACAACAACAGGGAACCCACACCAGTAAAGACAAAAAGGAGAGGAATTTAAGGTGGAGAGACTGTAAAGTGGCTTTCACCTAAAACAAAGCTCCCCAAAGAGCTGTCCCTGCAAGAGGAGGCACCGGGAAAGGAAAGGAGCTGTTTGCTGATCTCAAATAAACGTCAGAAACATAAACACTCATTTTTGAAGTGTAAAGCAGGAGCTGTTCTCACAAAGGCATCTGTTTGCTGACAAGGCTTGTGACCACAAATGTAGCATTGTCCTTTTCCAAAGGCATGAGTGGAGAGACAAAGAAAGCACGGCGTGAAGGAGTAGGCTGGGTTTATTTTTCCACCAATAACACCACTAACAGGACAAGAGGGCATGTTCACAGCACCAGGGCTGGATGTTAACCTGCTTTCCTGGAGTACTGTGCTGGGGGCTGTCTGCAGCAGGAGGAAGAGAAGAAGCAGACTCATTCTTGGTATTTATAGCTGAGATGTAAACAGGTACCCAGCAAACACTGACCCACACGGCAGAATTACAGTGCACAGCCCCAAAGGCCTGGCAAAATACAGTCCAGTCAACCCATTAGAAGAAACAAGGAAACCCAAATAACTTTCCCTATGTTACCAAAAATAACTACCTTTGTACAGATAAGTATGTCTTCAGAAGAAAAAAAAAAAAAAAAAAAGTATCAAACAACTACATAAACAGAAAAACAGAGGACAGAGAAAGAAGCAGGTGGCATTCTGCATTTCATATGGATTTGAGCAGCTGCTTGGAAGAATAAATATGTAAAGGCAAAGGTTTTGCCTTGGGCACTGGAAACATTGCAGTACAGAGAAGCACCGAAAGACAGTGTTTAAATCTGTACCACTGATATGGCAGTGCTCTTGCCAGAAAGGTATATGAAACATATTTGAGGTAGGTGCAAAGCACCAAGCAGGTTTGTTCCCACAACACAAGCCAATAACAATACACAGAGTAGGAGAAAAATTAAAAACTTAAAAAAAAAAAAAAAAAAGAAAAAAAAAAGAGAGAGCTATAATCCCCACTTGGATCAAGCAATGAGTCTTAATGTAAGTCTACAAAAGACAAGAAAAACTCTCAGCAACCTGAAACGTAAGGGTTTGTTTTTTAAAGGAGCCTTTCATGAAACAAGACCATTTTGATGAGACAATTTTCTCATCCCCTAAAGGCATGACAGTAATTTCAGACCTCTACCAAAATAGAAATGTGTTAACAGTGTAATGGCCAAGCGGAGCCTGCGAGGTGCTGTCAGCATGAGCAGCCACTGACAGTGTAGAGCCTGTACTGCTGCATCCCTGACCAGAGGGCTCTGAACACAGCTGTGACATGATTCATAGTGCTGCAGCTGTGCTCCCCTGGCAGCTGGTAATGCGTGCTGGACTGGAACTTGAGGGAGCTGGGCAGGGATTTCCCTGCCTTGGCTCCCTGACAGGGCATCCCAATTAAACTGTGAGTCACATTTGTGTTTCTTTATTCCCTTGGTCTTTTACCGTCTGTTTTGGTGAACCCCAAGTGTCTTACATGGTGTAAGGCTGCTTCTGGAAACAGGGTCACAACTGGGCAGTCATCCCCAAATTTCCTCTTCCTGGGGATGAAGGATGCTATTCCCTCTGCTCCCCACTCCCCTTTAGAGGACTACAGTAAAGAAAGGTTTGCCTGTGGGTATAAAAAGCTGAGGTTTTCACACGCATAAGAGGGTAAGGAAACATTTGTCCTTTAGTCTCTTGGCTGTGGAAAGCTCTTCCATGCTCCAGCTGTCTGCATGCCATTGGCATAAAGAGCTGCTTCAGAAATGGAAGAGTCTCTCTCCTGCAGGGCTGTGGGAGAGAAAGGAAGGCGCTTTCCCATGGTGATGGGAGAAAGGTTAGGGCAACACAAAGAACTTTTGGCAGTCTTTCTGGTAATGGCATTTAAAATCACTGTGCACCCCTTGCCTCAGTACTCTTTTTTGCCAGGTCTGCTCTGGGCATGGGGCTCCCTTTGCTGGCCCTGTGAGGGTTGACAGGAAATAACTGGGGAGAGGCTTTGTCTGGGATGCCAGCATGCTTTGTAGGAATCACACTTTCCCTCACACACTTATGACAGTCGTGGCTTAGATCTTGGCATTTCTCAAGAGGTTAGAGGAGAAGCCTGTAGACTGAAAGTGAAAAGTGTCTGATACCAGCAGTGAGCAGCCACTGTGGGCTGGGCAGGGAACCAGAGTGGTGCAGCTCTGGAGAAATAACCACAGTCATACGTGTCTCTGTGTGGGCTGAGTGCTCACTGAAGGCCAATGGTGAAGTCCACCTGGCTTAGTTCAAGCCAGGAATCACCCAGCTTGGGCCAGCTGGGTACAGACTCCAGGGAGGTGTGAAATGAGGCTGGGAAAGAGGGGATGTGTTCTGCACTGGGTCTGCTGCTTTCCCCCATAAAAACTGCCTGTGTGGCTCTCGCACAGCCTGGTGGGATGACAAATGCATTGTCTGTTGGGAATTCCGAGGAGCCTGGAGAAGCTGGGCTTGTAGCAGCACTAAATGCTTGTATAAGGAAATTAAACTCCTTTACCTCCTTTGTGAAGTTCTTACTGAACTCTAGAGATCCAGTTGCTTCTCTAACACTTCCACTTGTGACTTTAGGGTGAATCTGTGAAGGACATGGAGGACAAGAACACCAGCCAGAGAGGGTAAAAATTAGAAGACTAGCATCACCTCTCAAGTTCTTGCCACTGGCCTAGAGGTTTACAATGGCCCTAAAAAAGCAGCCTGTGTGAAAGCCAGGTGTATCCAGCATTCACTCACCATCTCCTTTGCTTTGCAGCATCTTAAGAATGACAAGGAAGATCTTCACCAATACCAGGGAGAGGTGGAGGCAGCAAAATGTCAACAGTGCCTTTGCCAAGCTGAGGAAGCTCATTCCCACCCACCCACCAGACAAAAAACTGAGCAAGAACGAGACGCTACGCTTGGCCATGAGATACATCAACTTCCTCGTCAAGGTCCTGGGAGAGCCAGGCCTGCAGCAGACAGCAGTGGCAGCTCGGGGAAGCATCCTGGGATTCTTCCAGCAAGCCCCACACTTGCAGAGCATGGAAGAGCTGACACTGATCGAAAACTGTGGTGTCTCCTGTCCCGGCATGAGCAGCAATATAGTGGAGTGTTGGTCAGAGGCATCGTCCCCCTAGCAGACAGTGAGATGTGCAGTCTCGGTGTTAGTGTGATAGTCCCTCTCTCCTGGCAGAATCATGGGTTGCTCTTCTGCGTATTGTGATTATCTATTTATATTTATTGCTATTTAATTTGCATTTTTACTTAATAGGATAGGAAATCCTTGGTCGTGCAAAAACCTGGCAGTCCAGATGGAAAACTTGTGGTCTCTGGGAGCTTGGAAAGACTTGCTGCTGTCATGACAGAGCCCAAGCCAGAAGAGTCTTCTGTCCAGATCTCCTCCATAAATCAGGGCATAGATATTCCTTCAGTGTTTCTGACAGGGAAAGAAATTATTCTCCCATTCTATTTCAAGGAAACACTATTGAGATGAAAAATTATGACAGCACCACAAAATTTGTCCACAACAGAGATCCGGCCTCGGTAGTGAAAGACTTTGAGAGATGAGGTATTTGGCCTCAGTCCTCCATGAGTTGTTCTAGGGGCTAATTGCACTCAGTCTTGAACTTGTGAATCTTATTTCTAGGTCTATTTTTTTTTTTAATTTTTTTTATTTAAATCCTAGCCCTTGAACCTGGCTACATATTTCTTCATCAGACAGGAGGGATCCCTTATGTCAGAGCAAAGCACATTAAACAAAATTAAATGTTAGGTTAAAGCAAAAGGCAACAATTTAAAATGACAAAATGCATAGTCATAGATGAGTTTCAGTGGGTTCATTAGGCAAAGTAAATCTCCTCCACAGCAGTGACACCGTGAACCTGAAGGAAGATGGTCAGCTATACCCCAGCTGCCTCAAAAGCCCATCAAAGAGATTGGTTGGTGACTCAATGCCTTGTTCTTCTGGAGGAGGTGTAGTAATGGAGAAGGTCCTCTTTGTGAAGGAAGTCCTGGGACAAAGGCCTCAGTGAAGCACTGTGAAAACCTTTGTGGACAAAGCTATGTCTACATAGCATGCACAGGCCATATGACTGCCCTTAAACTCCCTGCTTTCTCCTGCCCTAGCTGAGGTTTTCCCACCTGGATACTGTCCCATATGGGCCAATGGAGCAAGTACAAAGAAATTGTTGTAAATATCTTCCATTTGTGAGTCACTTCCCTGTATGAAACATCATGCTGTAGGTGTTTACATGATAAGCTGCATGAAAGTGGTCACCGTGGATTATTGTTGCCCACAAAAACATCCAATCTAATTTCCTGACTTGAGTTATAACCTGTGCCAGCCAAGGCCTGGCCTGCTCATATGACTTATGAGAAGCCCAAAACAGCAGAAAAAATGATGTCAGGTTTAAGTAGAATAGCTTTCTGGTGAGATCCTGCTCCCACTGACACAAGTGCCTCTTGATTTTCATGTGGACCAAGGTACATGTCAAGGCTTAGAAAAGACAGTTGCTCATGACTGGTGGAGAAATGTAGCTCCTGTAGTCCAGGGCATGTCCCTGGGCTGTTTCTGTTTGTTCATGAGACAAGGAGGTGCTTTAAGAAAGCAGAACTAGGGTTTGTGCATGCAGCATGTACGGCCTTTCTGCATGAGGGGATTTGGCACCTGAAGCTGAGCTGCCTTTCAAAGCCTCACCAAGCACCAGGTGCACCAAAGAAGCCAGGGCTGGCTCCTGCTATGGGGATGTTGAGCTGTCCTCAGCACTGACAAAAGCCAAGGTCTGACAATATCTCAGCTCACCCCATCCAGCACTGGTGCTGGAAGGTACAGGCATGCCAGTGAACAGATTTTGACCAAAAGAAAGAAAGAAAAAAATAAAGCGGAAAGAATTCATGTTGATTTAGTTTCCTTTCTGAACACTGCTAATAGTTTGCTTATCCCTGGGTTTGTGATCTGTCAGGATGGCCCTGGGGAGCAGCTGAGTGGAAAGACACCAAGAGTCCTTTGTTTCTCCTCACCTCTGCCCACATTAATGTGACTAAATGGAGCCACAGCCTCTTCTGCATGGCACCTTGAAGGTAATGAGCCATATCCTCCTCCCATCTATCTGCTGGCTTGCTGGCGTTCCAGCAGGACAAATTAGTCCAAGTGAATCGGAGCACTTCCTGCAGAGGCGTGGTGGTGCTGCTGGGTCTATCAGTCACTTGCTATCCTCGGAAACACACATCACCAAGGTGAGGAAAAACATCTTGTGAGCAGCTGTCATACTGGGGAAAGAAAACCTGGCAATTTTGTAACATAATACGCTTGTATCTTCTATGCTAAAAACTTTCTCATCTTGTTATTTCTTTGGTTCATATCACCATTTTCTTTGATCTCCTTTCAGTTTAGGGGTTCCCTACTGTCACATTCAGCAAGTATTTCCCTAGATCTCTCTGCCAAAGATTTCTTTTTTTTGGTCAAGTTTCTTCTTTGTGTTTTGGGGATTTCTTATCTGTGTCATCATGAACAAATACAGTGCAACTGATAACACTTTGTGCTATATGTTATTGAACACCTAATATATTCCAAATAAATTATTTAAGAAACTAATCTTTTTTGCTCTAAACTTCTCTAAAATTTCATTTTACATTTGCAAACCACTTGGTAGAGGATCTCAAAGACCTTATGATGTGATTTCCAGCAGAGGATTTTTCTGCTGTCTCTTATGCAAGAGTCTTGGTTGTAGAAAAACCATTTTCAGATGATGAACAATGAAGGAATTGTTTACTACAATTTCTTACACTTTTAGTTCATATTGTATTTCTATCTGTGCTAAGAAGATTTTGACCAGCTCTTGAAAAAGACAAATAACTAAAATTTCATTGCACAATGTTGTTATTTATCTCTTCTAAAGACTCACAATTCAAAACATTTTAATCAACTACATTTTAAAAACATATGACACTCTAAAGAATTATTTTGGAGTCCATTGTTATCTGGAGATGTTCAGATAGGCATAACCAAAAGATTCAAACAGGAATCCAGGTTTGGATATAAAAAATAATTCAAAGTTGAGGGGAGCTTAGGATGTTAAGCTACTCTTTCTGGCTAACATCTGGTGGGAACAATCCAATCTCCAACTGAATCTGAGGCTGGGAGAGGGAGAGGAAGCACTAGGGTGACAGATGCAGGAGCTGTGAGGAAGAGATGGGAAATCACTGGATCACAGGGACAGTTTCAGTTTCATGATTGACTGGATGTCTCACATCCAGTGAGAGCGTTCTGTGAACACAAAGAAAGGAATTTCTGCACAAAATGTGTGCCAGGAAAGCATTGTCTCAAGGAATTATATACAAAAGTCAAGAAATCAGCAAATGTGAAGTTCAAAATGCATTTATGTGTGGTCTCCAGTATGTATTTATACTAAACAAGGCAATGTCACCTTAGAGAGAGTGCTCTGCTTCCAGCAGGTGATGCCAAATCAGTTTGTCTGCTGAGGATCATGTGGCAATCCCTCCTCTGGAAGTGGCATGGTACAGCCATGCCAACACAGTGCTGTGAGATAATGAGACCCGTACCATGGAGATGTACCAAGTTATTTAGAGTTGGCTGAAAATGTCTCAGATATGTTGTTGCAGTGGCAAAACCTTAGTACAAATGACAAAAATATCCCTGGTCCTAAGGGCCCTACTGTCCCTGGTTGTAACTAGCAGTGCTGAATAAAGTTGCATGAACAGCATTTTTTTTTACTTTTATAATTTCTTTTTTTCTGTGAAGCTATGTCTGTCAATACTGCAAGGAAGACCAGCTAAGGTGGTATTTTCTAGAAGCATCCTTGGTATCTACTGGTACAAAAAAGGAGTGCTGGAAAGTTAAAAGATTCATTGTCTGCTCCAACCCATGGTATTCCTAACCTGCACAGAGGGTGTGAAGAGTGCTCCTGTGAATTTTTGATGCAGAAACCTCAGTGAGACACTCCTTTACTTGGAATTTCTAACAGGATCAGTGGAACAATACAGCTCCACATTTCAGCTCAAATGAGGATTACTTACTTCAGAGGCAGGAAACAAGTTCTGCCACTGTTCACCTGTCACAGGGCCTAAGGGAATTGACATCCATCACATCCACTTTCTCAATATCCCTGTTGTGGCTGTGTGGAATTGTGGAATGTAATTGCAATTGGATATTTGGGCCGGGTAAGGAAAGGAATGAGTTGCAAATGTATTTGAGAGGATGCCGTAGTCATGTGCACAAATCCCAGTGAAGGCCAGCCTGCGGTAAGAGGAAGGCCAGGTCTGCAGTCTGGGGTTTGGCTTGAGATTCTGTGGATTCAAATCCTGGTGGATGTAAACTTGCTGTGCCTGGCACTAGACAATGCACAGTGAGATTCCACATGTGTTTCTGGAGTATTGCCCACGCTGAGGAAGACACTGTGGTAGGTTTGTACTTGGCAGCCTTGTTTGCTGTACCTTGTCTGAATCAGGGGGAATGAAGGTACAATGGGCATCACAGAGGGGGACTCACAGGATTCCTGGGACAGCTGCACTGAATGGCACAGCAGAGCTGTTTCAGGACACGAAGATCCATCTTAGCACCTGGTTCTAAACAGAAGGTAAAGGTGCAGCATCAACGTGTTTCACAGGTATATGATTCATGAACCATTTCTAATCAGTTCCCACAAATTTATTTGCTGCTAGGGAATGATATGCAGTGAGCATGGCTAAAGTAGTGTGAGCAAGGCAGATCTGACTTTTGTTCTTTGAAGGCTGGGTGATGAAAGGAGGTGGAAAGAATGGACGACTTAACTACTGACCTGTGGGGCAGGGGTCACTTGGGAGCCAGTCTTAAATCTAAAGGTCATTGGCACAGTGACAGAGTCCAAACCCACCACTTTTCAAGGGAGTAATTGTATTTTTAATACAGCAGGTGCTGAGAGAATCAGATGGGAAAAGGTGGGTGGAAGAAGCAGCTCAAAAAAGTACTTGGGTTACAGAAGGTAGAGAGATTGCCCTGTGCACAGTCAATACCTATATGTGGTTGAATTTATTCACTTTTGTTACCCCTGTAATCCATGAACAGCGTTTTCTTTGCACACTGAGGTGGTTCAATTCTTCTCTGTAAGGAACAGAGCCTCATCCCAATGTATTCTCATTCCACTCCCTTTCCATCTGTGCACACAAATGCATATCCCATCCCTCCACAGTTTGTTTCACTGCCTTGGATTGCAATCCCAGCAGAGCACAAGAGAGGACCCTGTGATAAACTTCTTTTGGAGAAGAGACACCTCAGCACCAAGAAAGAGAGGCCAAGAGCAGCCAGCCTTTCCTGGGTACATCTGTCCTGCTGAGTGTCAATGTCACAGAACAGCACAGAAGAGGTTCAGGATGAAGGGCAGGAAGAAGTCAGTGAGACTCCTGTGGATCCCAGCACGGACTGCACTGGGACTCAAATTAAGTGGCTGACTTTTAAGCTGGCCAGCCATGCAGAGAGCTGGCCAGCTCAGTAGCACAGGGCAGCAGAGGTTTCCCATGCATACACCTTTCTGCAGATGGCTGGAGGCACAGTACCTTAGAGCTTGGGAAGGTCCCTCACTTTCTCTGAAATTCCCTACTCTGCACCTTGAAAGACAGGCTCTCAGGTAGCCTAAAACCTTAATGAAAAGCTGAAGGATGACAGCCTGCAGTCACCAAGTCTCCAGGGAGGTGTTCTGCCTCCAACCCTGTCTGTAGACATTGATTAACATTGATTTTCTCTTGGTGACTGTATTTGGCAAACCCTGGCAGACAGCAGTGCTTAGCCCTGGAGCTGAGAAAGGCCAAGAGCAGACAATATTAACTCTGCCTTCAGATCACAGCAGGATTGCCATGCTCTGATACATTGATTTACAGCCAACCAGAACACAACCTATGTATTCCCTCAGCTCACGACTTCACAGCACTAAATTCCAGCTTTAAAAAACTTTACACTTACTGGAAAGACCTAAACTCTCACGAGGAAACTGCAATGCCTAAAAGCACCTTGAGTGGAGCTATCAGACCTGGTTAACCACAGGAACTCTGACCAGCTGACCATGACCTGAAATATTTTACTGCCTGTAGGTTAAAAGATATTTCAGAAGGAAGAATCTGGTCCTGCTGAGAGGCTTTGCAGTGGTCTCTGTGGGACTGAATGGAAAAAAGCCAGCTGCCAGTTGAAAGTTCCCTACAGAGAGAGTGAGCTTGGCAGATTGGACTTGCCAAGAGCACTTGGTGCTGGCACAGCCTGTTTGGGTGGGAAATATTCCCACCACTTGAAAGGGAACTGAAATAACACTGAAGGAAGCTGCCTGCTCTGGCTCTTCCTCCAGAGCTATGCTGCAAACATTTTTCCCAAATTTTCAGGCACAGAAGAGCAGCCAGCTGCTATCTGGTGAACATGCCCAGCCACTGTGCTTGGCACAGGACAGCCCAATCTCAAAGGCCACATTTCTGCACAGACATGTGGAATGCAAACAGGTATTCCCCAGCTCTTAGGTTTAGAAGTGAGAAAGTCATGGCAGGTAAGTTCAGCAGCACAAGTTTACCTGTCAATTTCGAATGGAATAGCTGGGCAGATACAGAAAACACAAAACAGACAGGTCTGTCTTTATATCTTTCTGTCTATCTATTATCTATTGATCTGTTACCCTTATCATCTCCTTGAATTAATTTAAATTCACTTAAGGTTACATGCAAACAAAAATACACAAATTTTGCCTTTATAATCAAAATAATTCTACTTTCAGACTAAAGACTAATGTAAGTGAAAAAAAATGAAAACAAGACAGAATGCCAGTGAAAGTATGATGGATGAATTAACCATGCCTGACACAACCTGGATGGACACTACACTTGTTGTAGGGACATAGACCTCTGATTCTGACATGGACACACACTGTCATCTGCAGAAAATAAAGTAACATCACCTTGTTTCTCTTACATCTAAAAAGTAATTAAAACTGCTAGTTTGGTAATTCTGAAGTAGTGGCTTCTATTAATCTCAAATATTTCCCAAAAGTACAGGCTCCTGAACTAAAACAGACATACACTGATTATGTGTTTCTGGTTAGCAAGTATGTTCTCTAAGTCCCTCAATAGTACAGCTGTAAGTTGCTAAAGTAAATTTTTTTAATTCAGAGAACTGAAAATACTACTAAAATAATAGTAGAAAAAAGAGTTTATCTGCTATTTAGCATAAATTCATCAGGTAAATATTTCCAGGAGCCCTCTGTGTGGTGCTGTTAAGATAAATCAAACCAAAGACAGTTTTCTTGAAAACTGGAGGTTCAAGTTAGGCAGGAGTTTGTCATAAATACTGCCTCAAAGCTTGACTTACCCTGACATTTATGCTTCCTTTTATCCTGTCTCTCTGAAGTAAGGCAAAACTCTAGGGCTGGGGCTGTCAGTAAGACTCTTGATCTCAAGGGCTCAACTTGAAACATTTTAGGGTTGCTGTGACTGCTTTTTGGGGTATTTTTCTTGTAATCTATGTCCATGACTGCTTTTAAGATACATCAGAAAGATGAGGTTGACTGGCCAGACAATTCAGCTGGAAGAGCTGGTAGTGTAGAAGCAGCCTGAATACATTTTTAAAAATAGGCACTTTTAAAAAGTCATTTAATCTCATGCTCCTGAATACACCAGCATATAGAGCCCCTAGCTGCTTTTAAAACCTGTGGATTTGTGGCTGTGGATTTGAGTCTTGAGTCCTCAGGGAACATTCATCTCCCAGTATGGGCAGAAAGAAGAGAATCAAGACAGGCACTAAGGCAATCAAGCAGATTGTTTACTACTCTTAGCAAGGCAAGTCCAGCACAGAATATGTCTAGGAACACCCCCAATACAGACACATACCCTGCCCCTAGACAGCTGCATTTTTCCCCCTTACACATTTCTTATCAGTCGCCTGCAGAAACTCTAAAAGTCTTATCTTGATAGGCCAGATTACTAAAATGATCTCCTCTCCATGATGAATAGAAATCAAACTGGTTTTCTCTGTCAGCAAAGCATACATTCCCAGTACAGACAGTTAAATCAACCTCTCCTCTCCTCTCCTCTCCTCTCCTCTCCTCTCCTCTCCTCTCCTCTCCTCTCCTCTCCTCTCCTCTCCTCTCCTCTCCTCTCCTCTCCTCTCCTCTCCTCTCCTCTCCTCTCCTCTCCTCTCCTCTCCTCTCCTCTCCTCTCCTCTCCTCTCCTCTCCTCTCCTCTCCTCTCCTCTCCTCTCCTCTCCTCTCCTCTCCTCTCCTCTCCTCTCCTCTCCTCTCCTCTCCTCTCCTCTCCTCTCCTCTCCTCTCCTCTCCTCTCCTCTCCTCTCCTCTCCTCTCCTCTCCTCTCCTCTCCTCTCCTCTCCTCTCCTCTCCTCTCCTCTCCTCTCCTCTCCTCTCCTCTCCTCTCCTCTCCTCTCCTCTCCTCTCCTCTCCTCTCCTCTCCTCTCCTCTCCTCTCCTCTCCTCTCCTCTCCTCTCCTCTCCTCTCCTCTCCTCTCCTCTCCTCTCCTCTCCTCTCCTCTCCTCTCCTCTCCTCTCCTCTCCTCTCCTCTCCTCTCCTCTCCTCTCCTCTCCTCTCCTCTCCTCTCCTCCTCTCCTCTCCTCTCCTCTCCTCTCCTCTCCTCTCCTCATTGCAGCTCTCCTGTCATCCTTTCAGTGTCTTTACCCTCCCCCCAGTTAATTCCTATGCTTTAATACCATCTAAGAGTCCTTAGTGAGAAGAGGATCTGCTTGCTATGCAGGTGCAAGTTTTCAGCACCACAGCACAACAGCAATGCCACCCGCTCTGCCCTCCTCAGGGCTTCTCTTTGTGAGCCACTTTTTCTTTTCTTCCTTTTCAGCTCGGTGCTGAACAACCCCATGCAGATAATCTGATTATGCTAATTTGTACTTCATGAACCCAAAGTAAGGGGATCTGCGGAGGGTGAGCTGGGCTGGGGATAAGGGTGGTGAGGGCAGGAGAGAGGTTTGGGTGGGGGGTGCACAGACAATGGGTTCAAGTCAGTTAACAAAAAAAGCCGTCTGTATTGCCAAACAAAGCACACTCCGGGTAACCCCTTGCTGCTCTTGACAGTTTAGAGTGTCCCAAACTGGCCTGCGCCACTGAGCAGAAAAGGGAACACGGAGAATATACAATGAAGGGGCACAATGAGAAGTCTGTTTCCTGTTGAATGTTGTTTTTGCTTTTTTTTTTTCCCCCTCCTTAACTAATCCTTCCCAGAATCTAGTAGTTGGAAGTATGGTCCACAAATTGTTTGTCAGGTGGTAGCTATGGCACTAGACAACTTCTGAGCGCACATACCCTCATCTGTCCAGTTAGACTGATGATGCACTCAAAATTTATTGAATAATGGGCAGTGACTTTGCAGACACAAGCTCACAACTCTCAGCTTGGACTTGTCTCTCTGCAGGAGCTGATGGAGTCCCAGCTTGGTTTTACATGGTCTTCACTGCAGCAGGAATTAGTCAGGAAACAACCCTGAGGGAAAAAAAAAAAAATAAAGGGTATGGAAAAAACCATTTTCAGATTAAAGCAATCCCAAAACTGTTTGCATTGGCAGGGAACTCCTGAGATCATCGGATCTAGCCTCCTGCTCAAGCCATGTCACCTAGACTTCTTTGCCCAGGACTGTGCCCAGTCAAGTATCTCCACAGAACCTTTGCTATTGCAAAGGAAAATAGGAGAGGGAAGGAAGGCAGTTGCTTTGCACTCTGCCTTGAATAAGACAGCTCCTCTTTCTCATGCAGAACAGACTATTTGTTCAGTCCTGAAGTCCTGAGCAGAGTATCTCTGGACACCATTTTATAAAAGCTAATGGAGGAGGAAAAATAACAGTCCTGAAGCTGTCATCTCAGATCCAGTCTTGGGCTCAGTTGCATTTGCATTAGGGTATTGCATGGAGTTTACATGATAGGGTAGAAAACATGCAATATCTTGCCAGCATTGCTCTTTTTTTTATTTGAGATCTCATTTGCTGAATGTGTAGTGCATTACAAGGCCTATATCAGTATTTAACAAAATTAGTTCTAAATAACACTGTGAATGGAGCGATTCAGTAAAGGAGCAGAAAAAAGGCATCACAAATGTAAGATTACCAGGTTAAATTCAAATATAAAGAGTATTTTGAAACTGTCAGATGTTGTTGGAAGCATCTACATTCACTATATGCATGCAAATGTGCCTTGCTTTTCTCTCTTTTCCCTGGGAAGCAGGGAAGCTTATCAGATGTGATCCAAACCAAACAGTATTTTTATGAGCTGTGTAATATTTCACATAAATAGATCCGATTAAAAACCAATTTTAAATCTGAGACAATCAGTAGTCCCAGATCCTATGCTCCCTGAATGCTAGTTGCCTGGTGCTCTTGGAACACTTAAAATGCACTGGTGTCTAATGAACTTCAAAGACCCGGGCTTTTGCCCTGCTGATATATGTACCACAGAAAAGCCAGTGAATGCAGCAGGACTTAAAGCAATGGAGTAGTTTGAGGCCTGTCATTTGTACTATTTGAGGCCTTCCTGTATCCTTTTCTTCCCTTCTACAGCAGCTCTTGGGTGAGACCACAATGGCAAGGATTTGACAAAGTAGATAAACAAAGTAGCATAATCTGGAGGAGAAAGTTTTGTTCTGTCCCCTTGTGTTTCTCCTGACCTGAAGGATGACCTGCCCCAAACCACTGCTTTTCCTAGCTTTTTTCTTATATAGTGAGTTGCAGTAAGCAAGGATGTTTATTTTGCTACATATATATATACAGGGAGTTAAATGCAATGGGTTTTGGCCTCATTTGAAACTATCACATTATATTAAACTATTAAGTTATATACATATGATGTTAATATATTAACAACAATATATGAAGAATGTATTGCCAGCTGTGATTGATTACAACCTTGAAAGTAGCTAGCAGTGGCTATTTCTGACGTGTGTTTTTCCAGAAAAAGCAAATCCTGAGCAGTTGGATGAAGCAGGCCCACAACTGCTGCATTACAGTGATGAAAGGCACAGTAGGTGCATTGAGCACCCAGTCCTGAGAATCAGGTACCTACTGAGAGGACAAGGAGGTGCTCAGTGTTTGTTGGAGCTGAACCACAAATCAATACAATCACCAAAGGCTCACCTAGGGGACATTACAGGACAGTGACAGTACAGCACTCCTGCATGCCACTGATGGGGGAAAGTCCCAGCTGCAGGGAAAGGCATCCTTTGAACCTTGGCTGGATCAGCAGAGGGTTGGAGCTTGTCTCAGTCCCATCAACTAATCAGCAAGTGATATATTTGATGATGCAGTAGAGAGATAAGGTAAAAAGAGTTAGAGTCTACTCTATTAATCAGCTCCTTGCAGAAAGAATACTGTTAAGGAACAAAATATGCTAAGAGAGGCCTAGCAGCCAAGATCCTAATTTTTGTTAACCTAAATTAAACTCTATGTGAAGTCATGACTGAGTTTACTACTGCAATAAAGATACAAAACATTGGAGTACTTCTATTACAGACATACAAACTCTTTTCGTATACTTTCATAGCCTGAAGCACACACTTTTGCCTACTTTTGTGTCCATGACTTAAGGTAAACACAAGGGACCTCTTGGACAGAGCCAGCAGAACTGGCTACAGCTGCTACAGTCCTAGGCTTCACCTAGGAAAGAACACAGTGCTTCTGCTTCAAAGGCTGCAGGAGAAGAGAAATTTTAAATGGATCCTTAACAACTTGTGAGAATCTAATCTGGTGAGAGGCAGGATGCATCTGAGGTGGAGGTAAGTCAAAGAACCCCCAAAACATTATTTCTGCACTTTGCAATTTAGATTGGCATTAACCATCATGCAACGAAAATAAACCAGAGTAATGTTGTGTTAGGAGAAACCTGACCATCTGAACTTCCTATGATTTATTTTCTCAAATTTTTTCAGAAACTCTGAAAGGAGATAGGACCTGACCTTCTGTAGAAAAACTGGAAAAGAAGGAGGGCAGCCAGAGTGATGAAGCTGGAATGTGCAGAAAGGTAAAGGTGGGGCCTGATACACAAGTTATGATTGAAGGCATGCACAAGTAAGATGACAAAAGGGAATGAATAGCCAGATTCTCAGAGACAGACAGGAATCTGATAGGTGTACTAAGCCATGAGTAAATGCTGAGGATGCCATGGAGAAAGCAAAAAAAACAGACAAGCTGTGGGGAGTGACACTGAAAGAAATATACAGGGTTGATGAATATATGGTGCTGGTGAGAGAGGAAACAGCGGAAAATGTTCCAGAAGATCAAAGTAAGCAGATTGATGGGGATAAAAAACTGTTGAAAAACAGAGAAACAAGGCAGAAAATTGTGGAGCAGAGTGAGAATTTGTTTGGAAGGAGACAAGACAGCAGTGTGGCACATGGCTACAAATCACAAATGTAGCAGGATGAGAGGAGACAGTGGGAATGTCCATTTCCATATTGTGACAAAGATTACTATTTTAATCTGACTTGATTTTGATACACAGATTTGAGAGATCTTCTTAGAAGATAAAAAACCTCAACCTATTAATTCATAGAAAGGGATTATTTCTAAGTTCCCGATTTGGGGAAGAAGAATAAGAGTTTTGAGGCATACTGATGAAATATACTAAAGAAGTTCTCCTCATCTTTTTCCCCCTAAGGCACTATTTTTGAATTCCAGGTCACTGCCTGTAGGGCCCCCAAGAGACATTACGAAATAAAACACTAAAAAAACATATCCCACATTAAGCAGCAACTTCACCAGCTATACTTCCTTGCTAAGTACACAGACCTTTTTTTTTCAAACACAAAAATTAGCATAATCTTGCTGAAAAGTACTCTGGAGAATGTGCAAGTTGGGAAACTATTCAGCAGGTGTTTACAGTGGGGTTTTTTAGGGTCAGGATAACATTTCTTGGGCAAGAAAATCAGTTCAGGCTTGTGCTTTGATTTCACATTGAGCTTTCCACTTACACAACACAACAGTCCATATTTAAAATTCTTATAGCACACTGTGCTGCTCAGGTCTCACTATTAGCCCGCTCCCAATAAATGAAGAAAGGGGCATTTGTTCTTCTAGTTTAAAATCAGCAAAACACAAAAAAATGTTTCACACACCACACTCACAGACAGAGATAGGTGTACCTAGCTTACACACTAATACCATCAGCTCACACTGACACAGCTCTCTCAGCATCTGTACACTAGGCTGAAGGATGAACAGGATTATTTCAGATGTTTTATTCCCTGCTGTCTTTAAATTATTGCTGAGATATCCAGGACAGCGGGAAAATTGATTAAATGATACGTTTTCTTATTTGTTACTCTACTTTTATTACACAGACTGTTTTCTGTGGTCTGATTTCTCTCTGGTGGCTTTCTCTGTTCTGGGCTCTGCTAAGATGCTACCCTGAACACACAGGAATCTCTCCCTGGTCACCAACAGCCTTAGAGAAACTGCTGCTCTTATTTCCTGCTGGAGGTAGAAAACTCATCAAAATGTCTTTCTTGTTTAACTTGTGGTGGTTAACACGCTCTCCCGCCTCACTGTTCTGAGCTCCACCTCCACAGCAGCTCCATCTGTGCTGTTTAACCCCCGTCACCAGCCAAGCCCCATGCAGCCACCCTCTCGCTCTCCCACCAGTGGGACTGGGGAAAAGAATTGGAAAGGTAAAAGTCCACAGGCTGGGACAATGGCAGTTTAATAGGGAACCAAAAGGAATTAATTCCCCACTTCCCATGGGGTGTTCAGCCATTCCTAGCAGAGTAGGGTCCCATCACACAGAACAGTGACTTGGGAGGACAAATGTCACCACTCTAAATGTCCCCTCTTCCTTTTCCCTCTCACTTTACACACTGATGATGCTGTCACTTGGTCTGGAACATCACCTGTCCCAGCTGGGTCTCCTGAGCATGAGGAGGAGCAAAGGCCTTCGCTCTGTTCAATTCCTGCTCAGCAATAACAAAAACATCCCTACATCATCACCCCTGAGCTCAGCCCAACTCCAAAACACAGCCCCACAACAGCCTCAGGCAAAGAAATTAACTTTCCTCCAGCGCAACACTTTCAGGTGCAGTGACAGTGCAGTATTATGTATTTGAGGACCCGACTAAAAATTGAAAGTTCAGGCAGATACTGCTGATCTGCTGCAAAATACCACCAGCAGAGGTATCACCGCTGGCATGTTAAAGAATTTGGGCATCTCTACACAAGTTGCAGGCACAGTGCAACTGCAGTGCAGATGCAGTGCATCTGCAGTGCAGATGTTGATGGCCCAAAATGCGATTTTTAAATTTTATTTTATTTTATTTTTTTTATGTCAGTGCAGGCTCCTTATGGTCACTGCCATTTTAATTTCCCTCCCTCTCCTTCTAAGTTCACATACTGACAGATATCCTGAGTCGTTTTCACTGCCTAGCAATGAAACGGATGCCACTCGGTGGGGATAAACCAGTATTGCAAGGAGTGAAAAAGACTACATCGTTTTAAATCCCGCAGCTGCCCGGACACAGAGCCCTGCTCAGGGGGAAACAAAACGATGCTGAGCTGATTTCTGCTACAGCATGCAGCTTCCTAATGTATTATGTCTCATTACCTACACACCGAGGCAAGTCGATATTCTGCTCTAGAAAAACTCTAGAAAAACAAACTCTGGCTTCTGAGACTGCACAAAAGCACGACAGGAAATAAAAATTAGATTTATTAATGAGAAGGCTAGTAAGAGATCACTTTGACTACATCAGAATCTCTTAATGTAGATGAAATGAAGATGGAAATGGCCAGGAAATAGAAACGAGCCACATGCACATGGGTCAATTATCAGGGAGCAAATGATTCACTGGATGTACCGAAAGGAAGAGACACTGAGAATAGGAACTTATTCTGTGAATATGGTACTGATAAAACGCAAATCAATGAAAATAATAACTCGCTATTCATAGCAAGCTAAAATTATTCTGGGAAAAGTTCAAGTGTTTGCTATGTTGAGTGGCATAAACCTTTTCCCCAGAATGATTCTGCAATCTGTTATTTCCTGAAATTAGCTCTTGGTAGACAAAGAACAAGTTCAAGAGCACCTGTGAATGTTGCACATCCTCAGACTGCTTTGCTTAACTTCACCATGCAGTGTGCAAAACTTGGAGCCTTTACGAGTTCTTTTCACCAGCATGTGGAAGCTGAATGGAAAAGATAGGAACAGTTCAGGGGAAATTTAGTAGGGAAAACCAGCCAAAAATTCACAAACTAGTGAACTGAAGGGAGCCTGACAGAAAGATGGAGAGACTGTTTACAAGGGCACGTAGTGAGAGGACAAGGGGGGAATGGCTCCATACTGAAAGATAATAGATCTAGGTAAGATATGAGGAAGAAATTCTTCCCTGTGAGGGTGGTCAGACCCTGGCACAGGGTGTTCAGTGAAGCTGTGGCTGCCCCATCCCTATGGAAGAGTCCGAGATCTGGCTGGATGGAGCTTGGAGAAACCTGGGATTGTGGAAGCTATCCCTGCCCATGAATGAGCTTTAAGGTCCCTTCCAATCCCAAACATCCTCATTACATGAATTCGCTTCAGATCCTCCGAGTCTGGTGAACAAAGAAAAAGCAAACGTATCTTCGAAAATGTTTCACTTGGGCAGCTCACGAGCAAACTAGCTTTGCTGAAAATACTGTGGGATTGGATATAGATCTTTAAGGAGGCACAGTTAGCCTCCAGTATCAAAATGAACATAAAGATGCATTAAAGATGCATTCTGCTGAGCGCTGGCAGCATCCGGTGTAGATTAATACCCTCAGTAAACGATGAATAGATGGCAGCAACCTGGGAAAGACCAAATTCGGAACCGGCCGTACACGCTAGTAATGTTAAGTATTCTTGATGAGCTTCAGCAACATTCAACAGGAAAGAAAAAAAACAGAAAAAAAAAAAAAAAGTATCAGGCTAAGTGCAGTGACCTGTACACGAGGTGCGTAGGGAAGCAGCACAAACGCAGGAGGCGCTCTAAGGGAGGCCACAACCGATCTCAAACTGCGCAGGGAGCAGGAATATCAGCATTTTGACCACAAAAATGCAAACAAAAGGCAGGGCAGACACCGAGCGCAGCCGAGCCGCGGCGCTGAGGGAAGGACCGCCCGTGAGGCGCCGCGCCCGCCCCGCGCCGACGGCGGCCGCGAGCGGCCAAGCCGCGTCAGAGCGCTCACCGTCCCGGGCGGCCGCTCCGGCTGCTCCGTGCCCGGCTATGGAGCTGTGGCAGGTGCCGCTGAGCTTCTCCCGCCTCCGCATGTTCCCTTTCTTCGACCTGGCGCATTATGTCGCCTCCGTGCTGGCGCTGAAGGAGCAGCGGGGTGAGCGGGGCGAGGCGGGGCGGGGCGGACACCCCACACCCCCATCCCCATGGCGGTGTTGCCCGCGGGGTGCTCGGCCCGGCGGGGTGAGGATGGGATCCTGAGGGGAGCCGCCCTCCCGCCTTCCCCATGGCCGTGCCGAGGGGATTTTAGCCCGTCTGCCCCTCAGCGCTGCCTCACTGCCCGCACAAGACGCTTACCTAAACTTTTCTTGCTTTCCAGAACTTAACAGGCGCTGGGGAAACCAGCCAAGAGTTTTGTTGGAGACCTTTTAGTGTTTTATTCAGTTGCTTATTTGTTTCAGTTTTGACGTCTCAGGGGTAAAAGGGCTGGGGCCCCTGGAATTTAGGTGTTTGGGTTTATTTAGAGTAGGTGTGTGTAATACAGGCCGGTATCTCTCTGCCCAGAATTGCATCTGAGAGGAGAGATACTGGGCTTTACATCCTTCACACACCCTGTTTGTGCAGCAGGCTGGGAAGGCCTTTCTGCCTTTTAGCAAACAGCTCCTAAAAAAACAGCTCCTAAAGAAACAGGACTCTCATGGGTAGGTCCTGTGCCAGTGGCTTGTCAGTGTTGTACACTGTAGACTGTAAAGTGAATTTAGCAAAGCTTTCCACTTCCACTAACGAGGTTATGTATGAGAGTGCATCACGGCATTCCAGTCTCTGCTCTCTTATACGGTGTGGCTGTTAACCCCAAGCCTGTTTGTTTGTTTTTTGTTGTTTCAGTGTTTTGAATTAAGCTACTTGTGGTGTGGGTTTAGACATCTTCACAGTAACTGTGCGTCGCAGGTGATAACTGTATAGGAAACTGAGCTGGCTTTTGGGATTATAGTGTAAATTTTGGAGCTGCTGCTTGCCTCAGATTTCAAAGATTTTGTCTTTAGTGAGGGCTTGTTCTTTGGTCCCTTCCTAAGTGTTCCAAGGTGAATTTTGACTTTGGGATTATAGTGTAAATTTTGGAGCTGCTGCTTGCCTCAGATTTCAAAGATTTTGTCTTTAGTGAGAGCTTGTTCTTTGGTCCCTTCCTAAGTGTTCCAAGGTGAATTTTGACCTTCTGCTGAGGAAATGCACTTAACAGACTGTGAAGACTGGTATAAAGTGCTTATGTATGCTAGAATCTTCACCAAACTTTCTTAATGCTGCTAAAATCTTTGATGGACTGTGGCATTGTGTAATGTGTCTGTTCCATTTAGAAAAGGACTTTCTGACATTATCATACAATACCTTTAAACTTTCCTCTGGAATGGGCGCACCTAAAGATGAGGATGGGAAACATATTTGCTTCACATCAGCATAGTTTTAGTGAGACAACACTTACAAAAAGTAAAATTGCTATCAAAAGTCTGGTCTGATCCATGCGCCTTTTTTTTTTTCCTTCTCATCTTACTAGCTGATAGTTCAGAACTCCTGACTATTTTCTAATACTTGGAATTAATAACTGTAATCCAGGTGAATGCCTGCTGGCTTGTTTCTCACTTCCCAAGTGGTTTGAACTGAGCATTAAATCATAACTGAAATAGCAGTTATTATGCATACTCAATATGGATATTATTGTTGATTAATGCTGTCTAGGCTTTATGTTCTTTTTGGAAACTTACAACAGTAGCTATATTCGACAGGGAAATAACAGGATAGCCTTGAGTGCCTGGTGATGTAAGAAGTATGTGGTCAAGTTACAGCCACATTTATTTTATCCCAGATTACTGTCTCATTAAAATACCAACCCACCCCCACTGCTTAAAATCAAATTCAGTGTAGGCATTTGGATCATGGATGGGTGCACACTAACTGAGGCTTTTCCAATCCTCCTAGCCAGGCTTTCTTGCTCACTAGTGACTGGCAAACAACATCAGTGACAACCAACTTGTTGCTTTCTGTGTGTTTTAAAAGAAGACTTCTTGATTAGTGCTTTTAGGATGGCTTAGGAATTGCTTGCTTAGAACTCCAGCCAGTTGTAGAACTGGCAATTTTCTTTTTTTGGGATGGAGGGACAGCAAAAGGTGTTGATGGTTGAGGATGTGTCATATTTGGTTTGTTCCTGACATTTTTCTATTATGTGTTTGAGGTGATTTGAAGAGAAATAATTTTTTCAGCCTAAGTCTTACTCCATAAATCCTTTATCTTAGCTAATGATACTGTATTGGGTTGAATGGGGTACTAGACAAAGTATGTACAAACCCTCCTGGTGTGCTCAATAGATGTGTGTGTAGTATGCATTATTGCCTATTTGGAACATGCAGAAAAGTTTAAAGTAGATATAATCCTATTGACAGAAATAGTTAGTTGGTAAGGGTTTGTTTTGTTTGTTTGTTCATGTATTTTTGTGTGGTTTAGTTTTTTTTATTTTGTGTGGGAACTTTAGTTTTTTTTGGTTTTTTTCTTGGATTTGTTTTTTAATATTACTGTT